CTTTATTTATTTATTTATTTATTTATTTATTTATTTATTTATTTATTTAACCAATTTATATAGCCATCCATCTCACCACAGGCGATTCTGGGCAGCATACAACAAAGCTAAAAACAGTCACTAAATACATTAAAAACATAAAAAGCAAAATAAATCAGAGAATAAAAGGATGTTAAAAATAAGGAAGAAGTGTGGGAGGATGGGTCCACTGCTTTTCATCTGCCGCTGTTCTTCTGTTCTCCAGTAATTCTTTGGCTTTTTGTATGTATTGTGTTCTGTCCATGATAACCATGGTCTAGCCTTTGTCTGCTGGGAGGATGGCGATGGTTTGGTCCTTCTTTAGAATTAATGGAGGACAAAGAAACCTACATCACAGTAAACACTAATCCAATATAAAAATTGGACAACCTGATCAAAAGAACTCTCAACAACCTAACCAAGATAGCTCAAATCACAAAAGAAGAACAGTCACCCATCTGCAATAATTTATTAAAGCAAAAGTAACTCATTTCCCAGCAGCAAGAGATTGCAAAGAATAGAGTGAGGGGGAAAAAAATCCTAAGCATGCACAAGAGAATAAACTTTTTTTTTTTTTAATCAATCAATAAACAAATATACAAAGAAGGATGCCAAGAATAGGCTGCTTGCTGTGTTACAGGTTTCCTTTCAAATACTTTATATAACTTTTATATATCTCGGCAAACTGTGTAACATTTTAACAATACTGTGAAGTGGAATTTTGTTATTTATCAGGTGCTGCTACAGGGTCAAGCTCATATGTTGCATTGTTGCGTTGCGTTGTCATTTCCCACTATGTTGAAGAGGCCAAATTTTTATGCAATCTCAGACAAAGAAGCAATCCTTTTTCACATATCTGAAACCACACGTGACAGGCTAATGCTCCAAAACTTCTAGCATGGGTATTATTATAGATAAAACTTATTTCAGCCATGAAAAAAAATACTTTTCAGTGGAAGACACACTCATGTGCATATTAGATAATATTGGTAAATTGGAAAACAAAATAAAGATGTGTAACTGGGAACAAAATACATACATACATACATACATACATACATACATACATACATACATACAGAGTCCCCCATTGCGGGGAGATGGATGGGGATAAGTCTATGTATAAATTAAAAAAAAAAATACATACATACCTGAGTGGTGGACATTTTCTCAAAGTCATATTTTGGCAAATAAATATTTCTAGCAAGATTTCCAGCAAGTAGCAATCTATAACCCCTACTGCACTGAAGTGAGATTCAAGGTGCTGGTTGTCACCTTCAAACCGTACATGGCTGAGAACCTGTTTATCTGCTGCTTCTACTTGCCTAGTAAGAGTCTCTGCTTCTCCATTAAGAACACCCTTGGAGTCCCATGTGTAAAGAATTGCTGCCATCAGAGACCATGAGGATAGGCCTTTTCTGTAACTACCCCTCTCCATGGAAAAGTGTTCCACCCAGGGTCAGATCATCACCAACCCTGCTGGAATTCCAGAAAGCCTTTGGAATTGATGGTGTAGGGGGTTCCCTGCCTTTAGGTTGGGGGTGTGGGGTTGGTTATTACTATTATTTTCTTTCAGTTTAGTCTATTTTAGTTTTTTATTTTGTAAGCTGATCACAGTCATTCCTGGAATTGAATAGCATATAAATAGAAAAAAAAATAAATGAATCTTTTCTAAAAACATTTTTATTTTTTTCTAACAAAAATGGAAAGCCACTGCAGTATTATTTCCTGCCCTATAAACAATATGAAACTCAGGTGACTCAGTCTTCTTAACATTGCCTTTCCACTGGACTTTTAGAAGAGGCAAACCTAACAAAATTGCTATTTTTGTTATTGCTTTTACTGAAACGGCCATAGAAAATTGTGAATACACACACCCACACACATACTTTGTAACAGTGTGAATAAAGGAGAAACGAATTATTAAAAGTGTTTTTGGGTTAGCTCTGAGCTGGGAGAATGGGATGGGGGTCAATATTAATTAGTAACTGAAAGATGAAGCAGTGGCATTGGAATCTATGGCAAAACTAGCAATAGCAGCTACGCCTGACATTGCTAATCCTAAAATTAGTATGAATAATTACATTTGTAGTATCATAGTAGTGCAACTGAATAAATTGACAAATTCCTTCACGGAGATGGGATCAGCATCATTCAGTTCACTTTCCACTAAATTCATTCATGACCACCCTCCTCTGCATCTTACTTTAGTGGAATTTGAATTAGAATCCCCTGAAAGCAAGGGATTTATAACTCCACTGGTGGAAACTAAAACTGTAGCATAAATGTATCATTGTATCATAATTAGGGGGACAGCAATTGTTCCTAATCTTGAATTAACTATGTGACTTTAGGTAAGCCACAATCTCTTGAGCCCAAAGGATTCCACAATGCCTACTATGGTGATAATAACACTCAGTGAAAAGAAATTCAGCCTAAATCCCATTTATAATAAATTCAGGCATGGCAAATAAGAAGTGGACATTTAGGGTAAAATATGAATTCAGAGCTTTGAAAGATAGTTTATTCAGTGTTTATCTTTTGGTTTTATTCATCTAAAACAAAGTTGCATTTGTCTCTGAAAAGTTTTTCAGTAGAATGTACAACTGTTTCATCTACCATCTTTCTTTCATTAAATCCACAATTCTGAATTTCTAACATGTGATTTGTCAGTTACTCTTATGTCACAAGGTACACATAACAAACAGGAACTTTTCCTCATCAATAATATATATTTTAATATTATAAAATAAATTACAAAAACATTATTTTGCAGTGATATTTTATGACCTATGCTTGACTAAATGTCAGCAACAGTTGGTATTTGAAAGCTTGTCTCATGCATCTTTTCCAGGAAATGCTACAATAAACATCATTATAAAGAATTAGATTAGATTACTCACAAATCTAAAATTTTCTACTGCTTTGAATGTCACATGCACCACAGGACCAATTAAAAGTGCATTTTTTTAAAAAAAAAAGTGTGTGTGTGTGTGTGTGTGTACCTATATCATCTATATCTATATCTATATCTTCTTTACGATTAATGATAAAAAGCATTGCCAATTAGGTATCTGGACATGGGTAGCATATTTTCCATCAAATTGCTACACCTACAGCTTCTTAAAGCATATTTATTTATTTATATATTTACTGGGGCTTATAATGCCACTCCAATCTAACAGAACTCTGAGTGGCTTACCTTCCCTTTT